GGGGGGGGGGGGAGAGTTTGCCCCCGTGGAGGGGAGTGGACAGGGGCCAGCGGGGGGCGCGAACAAGTGGCGTGCGGCGTTGGATTGCGCCCGGCGGGGTCCATGAACCGACGCCTTCAACGCTAGGCCTAGTTGGTGCTGAGGTGGCATGGTTCAAGTTTAGTGTATCCTACTCTGGCTACCGTACATCATACAGTCGCTTCACTATATGGAGGAAAGCAAGCCCTGGGGGTGGTCCACAAGGGCATCGTGGCGCGCCATGCATGGGGATTCCCTGGGCATCGCCCCTCGCGCGGGGCATAACTGTATGCGGCCCACAGCAGCACGCGGCTCGACCAGCCAGGCCGCAGCCGCAGCCGCTGATGGCTCCACACACATACAATCCGTATGTGTGTGGATCTGCTACGTGCATGATGATGATGACTGTCGCCGTGAGGGCGTCTGCAACACCTCACTTTCTCTCAAACATGCACGTCATGCGGCGGCTTCCCGGTCCCGCACTGGTCGTCCTGCAGCAAGCTTGCCCACGGGCATAAATTTGAAGTGTACGGCTTTTTGTAACACCTAATCATCATCCCTTCAGCTGCGTTGACCGTCGTGGCCACGCACTCGCTTTGAGGTTGCCACCCGGCGCACCAATATTCGTGCACCTCCTATCGCCGTTAACAGCGTCGAAAGCGTGTGAAGTAGCCCGTTCTATTCAGTTTGAAGGCACCGTCAAACGCAGGACCCGGCTTGGAGTGTCCCAGATAAATTCGATAGCTCTTGGTCGCCCGCTGGGGCCTCTCACAGCGCGCAGGACACTCAAAGTAAAACTGAATTATTGGTGATATAGCCATGCTGCGCGCACGTGCGCCAGAGGGCGCTGATGTGCTATGTGCTCGAGGAGGGCCTTCCCGTCGTTTGTCCTCTCGGCAGTGCGCATCGTGGTCGCGGCTAGTCGTCCGTGCAGAGCACCAGGTGCGACATAGATGGGAGTCCCGTACGATGCAGAGCGCACCGACCGAGCTGGCGCGGTGTCACTCCTTGCGCACTGCTCCGTGGCGAGCGGAGCGCGCGCGCGCCCACCAGCCAAGCTCGCGCCGGCGGCGCAGAGTCGATTGGGGCCCAGTATCGCATGGTCGCTGTGCGTCTTTCAGCAGCTTTGATTTCCGTGCGATGTGTGAGAAGCTACCCATTGAGTATACTGTGCCCGATGGCGCCCGCCGCCCCCGTCGTACCAGCGCCACACGCCGCCGCCGCCGCCCGCCCCGCGCGCGTCTCGCCGTGCGCCCCGCAGGCGCCCTCCCCCGGCGCCGCCGCGTCGTCTGGCCGCCTGCAGCGCCTGATCACCGCCTTCGCGCCCGGCGGCGCCGCCGCGAAGCCCGCGGCCGCCTCGACGGTCCCCAAGGCGGCGACGGTCGTCGACCCCGCGACCGCGCCGGCCGCGCCGGAGCTTCTGCTGCCGCGGTCGGCCCCAGAGGCGCCGCTGCTGCCGCCGCCGGACCACCCTGTGCTGGAGCTGCTGCGGCAGCGGGTGCGGGAGGGCAGCGTCCCGGGCCGGCGCAGCGACGGGTTCAAGCTGGGGCTGGTGGTGGAGGGCGGCGGCATGCGCGGCATTGTGACAGGTGGGCAGCGCCGAGCGGGACGTACGGGTGCGGCGGAGCCCCCTCGCCGCCCGGGCGCCTGGTGCGCGGCGGCGGAGGGCGCCCTGCGGCAGGCGGCCGGCCGGGGCGCGGCCGGTGCCGCCTGTGCGGCGCTGAGATCAAGGTGCCCAAGCAGCCGGCTAGGCTCGCGGCGCTTTCAAGCGGCTCCTGTGCGCCACCCGCAGCCGTCCCCCCTCCCCCTCTGCTGCCCAGCCACGCACCACGACGCGCCCTGTTCCACCCCTCACTCTCCTGGCCACCCCACCCAAAACAACACCTCTCCAGGCGCCATGCTCATGGCCCTGCTGGGGTGCGACACTCGTGAGGCGTTCGACGCAGTGTACGGCGCGTCGGCGGGCGCCATCAATTCGACCTACTTCCTCACGGGTGCGCGCGCGCGTACAGCGCGCCCCCGCTTGCATGCATGGTCTGCCAGGTTTGCCCCCTGCCCGGCCTGGCGGGGGCTTCGCGGCCCTCCTACGCCATTGGGTGCCTCCAACCGGGTTTTTTGCTGCCCACAACCTAAAATCACCTGGACCCGCAATGCCTCTTGCACACACGCACACATGTGCACCGCACACACACATGTACACCGCACACACACAACCGCAATTCCACCCGGACCCTCGTGACGTTATCCCCAGGCCAGCCCGAGGGTCTGGACATTTACGCGGACCACCTGGCCACCAGCGAGCGCTTCCTATCGCTCAAGCGCTACTGGATGGGCGGGGAGGCGCCCGCGATGGATCTGGAGTTTCTGATGGACGAGGTGATGACGAACGTCACGCCCCTGGACTGGCGCGGCGTCATGGACAGGTGAGGGGGGCGGCGGCAGCCCTTGGAACCTTCGGCTGCGACTTGCGTCCTGCGCCCGGTGCCGCAGCCGCGGCGCGCCCCTGCGGCTGCAGGCTCAGCATTCGATTCCCTGGTCTGCGCGTCGCCGGGCGCGGCATGAGATGGGGTTTTCTCAGGGCGCCTCGAACGCAGCTGCGCCGCAGCACGGCGCGTGTTCTCGTCGGCGCCCCGTGGCCTGAATTTTTTCTTCCGCTCGCCCCGCCCTGCTCACCCCAGCCCCGTGCCTCTCAAGGTTGTGGCCTCCAGCCTGGACACCCTGAGGGCGGAGCTGCTGCAGGACTTTGACTGCCCCTTTGACCTGCGGGAGTGCCTCAAGGCCAGCGCCAACGTGCCCGCCATTGCTGGGCCGCCGCGCGTGCACAGGGGGCACAGGTGGGCGCCGCACACGCGTGTAGACGAGCGCGCGGGGCGTGGGGCGCGAGGCGGCGAGCTTGTGTGGGGACGGGGCACCCCTGTCTGTGGTTTAGGGGTTTGGGAGGGGCCCATGCAGCACGGAGTGAAGCGGGCTGATAAGGGCTGGAGGGAAACGGCCACAGCGCCGTGTGCAAGGCGGCATGGGTTTGGGCAAGCACCTCAGTCAAAGCGACGCCCGCAATCAAACAATGGCACCGGTGCTGGCCTGCGGGCCTGTGGGTCTCACAATCCAAGAACTCACAATTTCCTGTCTGCAGGCTGGTGGATGCGGCCGTGTTTGAGCCGATCCCCGTGAAGTCTGCTGTGCGCGACGGGTGCACGCACGTGCTGGCGCTCTGCAGCCGCCCAGCGAGCAGCGGGCCCGCCTGGGGCAAGGCGGCGAAGCGGGCGCTCACGGCGGCGGTCAAGCAGGTGGGCGCGCGCGGGCGCACGCGGGGCTGCAGCATGGGGTTCTTTTGGCAGGGCCAGCTGGGGGTGCAGTGCAACAGTGCCGCCTTGCGATTGCGCCGCTCCGTCTTTTGACACCCGTCACCCTGGACCGCGGCGGCACCCGAGGGCGCCCCCATTGCTGCTTGCCGGCCCCTGAGAGCGACGCGGCGCCTCCCCGCTCCTGAACACCCGTGTTGAGGGCCGCCGTCGTCCCAAGGAGTTCCCGCCCGATCATCCACC